GCGTGATTTATGACGTCTCTTTAAATCGCACTTTATTCGCACGTGGTAGTTGTTTACTGTAAGTAGAGAAGTTATATTTGCTCTAAAGCGTTGGGTATTTCGGTTTGCAGTTCAGTTTTTAGAAAATAATTAGATCTTGTTAGACGTGAATTCTTTCTGTTTTTACCGTTTCAATGTCGAAGCGTCGAAAATGTTTAACAGAGCATGAAATAGCAGAAATGATGCAAAAATCTTTCAGATATTGATTCTGAAATTCTGATATTCTGATATTGATTCCGAAAGATTAACTGAAAGACATTTTCCAAAACTTTGTTCGGAAGGAGACTGATAGGAAAATGAGACGACGATGCTTCGTTTGTTCACATTCCCGGAGAAATCCTCCAGAACGGCAAATGAGTTATTACGAGTTCAAGGAATGTAACGTAGGACTGTGTGTAGATCCCTGTTTTAAAATTTTTCATACGAAAAGAGAATTTTAAGTAATATATTTAGTTTTCAGATGTATAATGTTAAAAGTCATAAAATGGTGAGTAATTAAAATAAAATGTGTAAAATATGCATTTAAACAAGAAATAAGGTAATTAAAGTATATATATAAAAATATCTATAAAGCATAAGCCGTTTAAATACTCTATAGAGCATTATTAAACAATGCGTTGATACTTCGGAAATTTCATGGATTTAGGCTTAGTAGCAAAAAAGCTCCCGGCCCTGGAGAGACGCTCGCGGAAGACACTGCCGGCCTCCGCGATAAGCGCGCGTTTTCGCTACCCGGCTCGAAGGGGTTAAACGTGAACAGTCTTATTTTTCAGCTGTTGAAAATTAATACGTCTGAAAAAGTATCCGAGATGATGAGGATGTGTTTAGTAATTCTTCTGTAAGGTTGCAGAGTCATTAAGCTATAATGATGTTGGAGACGAGAAAAATGAGCAGTGCCATCGCCGGGACAAGAACCAGAGCCTCTCGAATACGCGCCGAGTGTGCTTCCGTTACACCACGAAAGCGTGCTGAAAGGAGATAAAATATATCATATGAAAACAATATATCACCTTTTAAAGGACGACTTGGGATTAAGGGACCCAATCGTTAAATCCCGGGGTGAAGAATCATCATCCACCACCTTTATGTTCGGGAGCCACTGCAGAGTCTGTTAAGTTATTTTGTTACTGAAACTCTCGAATGTGCTGGAACTCTCGAATACGCGCCGAGTGTGCTACCATTACACCACGAAGGTATGCAGAAAAAAAGGATAAAATACCCAATAAAGTTACAAAATCGAAACCCATCAGGTTTTGTAGTCAAAACTTTTAGCAAGAAATTAGCGAATTAATTATGTGCATATAAATATACATATGTTTTCTGCTAAAGAAAGATGTAATAACAAAAAGAAAGAGAATAGGTTGTCGTTACTTCAGTTTTCTCTCACTTGGAAATCTTTCGGATTTTTTTAGATAAATATATGAAATTTAGTGGTTTATTCAATATATTAGAATTGTTTGACATAAAAGTCAGTCAAAATTGCTAGTCTCAGTTACATAATATAAATAATACATAATGTCTCAGTTACATAAAATAAATAATACATAATGTCTCAGTTACATAATATAAATAATGCATAATGTCTCAGTTACATAATATAAATAATACATAATATCTCAGTTACATAATATACCTATCAGAATTTTCTTGCAAACGCCAACCTCAAAATGTAATGAAAAATAAACTCTTTTTTTTTTCCTTTTACTAGGGGGGGGGAGAATTTGGCCTGTTAGCTATTTTTAGATCATTCATTTGGCCCGGATGCAATCTGAGTTTGAGGATATACAACATTTATTTTCTAGGAAATTTGTTCGCACTCTAAACAAACTACGATATTTCCTTTAACACGCTTTCAAGTAACGGATAAAAAATAAAAAGAGGAAAAAAAATCAAATAATAAAAAAAACTAAACGTTTCTTTTTTATTCCTTCACGCAGCTTGTAAAAAATCCTTCTCTACAAACTTTACTCAGTCAGTGCCGGACTTGGTGTGACTTATGTGGCATGCGAGTGGGCCGGACAGTTCCGGCAACGTAACTTCCCGAGAAAGCTTTTGTCAAGAAATAGCATTCCGGCAATCTACTATAGTAGGTCGAGACTGTGGCAATTTTTCAATTGCCACATTCTCTAGAAAGCTCGGAACGCGACTCTCTTTTTCCTTTTTTTTTTTCAAGACTTTCTCTTTCTTTTCACTACTTCGCCAAGTTGGCGCCAATTTATTTATTCTCCGGTATATATTTATCGGCTTCGAATAGTTCGAATGCTATTCTTCTTGCACATGATGTATGCCGATTTTCCCGGTAATGCTCATTATTCTAATCGTCACAGATTCTGCCCTATAACATAATTTATATCTATAAAAAAATCTGATGTGTACACCACATGACTTCCTTGTACGGAATATTAAGTTATACGCATTTTTCTTGCATTTCATTTAAACTTATTGGATTGAATTAAATCTACTTCGCATAGACCACAATAGAATAAATGCATTCTTTAAAACTTCACTTTATTTATTTACCATAGCGAAACTCTGGCGCTAGGTTCACTTAAGAGTATTATATTTCGTTCATATTATAACTCAGAACGCACAAAATTTATATTATTTAAAGAATTATCTAATCGTTGCCACATGTTCCATTCAAATACTATATAATAAAGCTAGAACGATGAATAAAAGAAATTAAGCAAACAAAACAAAAAAAGAAACTGTTTTTCACAAACTATTGAGTATTTTTCATTCAATTAATTCAGTTCTCCCTTCGCGACAAGGCAAAAATTAAATAAAAACTCAAAATAACTGTATTAAAAATTACGAAGTAAATCTTAAAAACTTATTTCCTCGAAAAAATTCCAGAGAGAATTAAGCATGATTTAATTCGCAATAATAAATGAAGGCGTTATCTTTGTTGTTGCGAAGCTAAGTTTCTCTAGACTGACAACAAATCCACTATTCTGCTGTTTCAAATATAAACAAGCAATGGCCGCCATCAAAAACGTTATTAGGCTTAGCGGCACTTAAACAACTTTAAAATTGTTGATAAATCTAAACATATTGCATACAGATTTACTAAAGGCATGAAAATCTTAATCGGAAGGTAAGAACAACATAATTCAATCATTTTTAAAGCAAAAAATGCACAATTTACAAACATATAAGAGCAAAGAAACTGAGATCACTGAGCCGGGTAACAGAGTGGATATATATATAAATATATTTATATACGTTTGGTGCGGCCGATTGCAACCAAAATGCGAGGTGCTCATCTACATGTTATAGCAGACCTTGTAAGGATCTTAAGTTTTACTAACGTTTATTTTATTTTAAATCTTTACTATCACTTCTTATTTTCTACTTCCGGCCAGAATTATAAGCGTAAAGGAGTTTATGCAAAGTTGTCTGGCGAACGCCAAGTATTTAAGTGTGGCCTTTTTGCCAAGCAGAAGAGAGAAGCAGTGAGTTCGAAGCAGGCCGCTTACCTTAGAAGTTAAGTTACGCAGTTGCTATTTGCCTTCCAGGCCAGAGGTTTTAATCCTCTTGATAAATTAAACGTATTGTAGTGTTCACAGTCTCTGTGCTACATACGCTTCCTGTTATTATAAGGCCAATCTTATTCTAAAGTTAAATTAGAGTTTAGTTTTATTTTGATATCTTTTACGTTAGACCCCGAGTGGAGGGTCATTGTATTCCGAAGTACGGAAGTCATTGTATATAAAGAAAAATAAAGGGTTTTGTATACCCTTCGTCTGTATCCTGTCTACTTACTACAATTAGTGAACATAGCTTTAGTAAGCTCTCTGTTCTAGTCAGGTCATTGTATGTTTCCGAAGAAGGTAAGAAGAAACATTGAACCTGATAACCTATATACAAAATTTCAACGTTCTGTGGCTACTCGTTTTTGAGTTATGCGAGTTACGTACGCATACATACGTTCGTACAGACGTCACGAAAAATTCTCTTCAGAATTAATTTTAAAGCTGTTTTATAATTTTTTTGAAGGAAAAGAGTATTTTATTCTGTCCTTACGTACAGATATCACGCAAACACATCGTTAAATTGCATTCGACAGGGGTCAAAATGGATATTTTCGTTGAAATATGCTGCCTGTAACTTTTCGCGATTACAATACTTCATTTTTACTTCGCACAAGGAAGTAAAAACTATTGAAGTTTCTTTAGCACTTACAAAATACAAGTGAAGATAAAAATTTTGGACTCGCTGGACACAACTGCTCCCAAACGGATTTGATCAAAGTTTTATAAAACGCCTTAATACACAAATCGGGATTGATATTTAATATTTAAAATAATTTCTGGTATTAATATTAATTTAATTAAAATGCAGGCCGCGTTTTTGCAATAAAGAAAACAGTTTTTTTGCTCTAACACCTCTAAAGCAGCAACTGACTTTATACTTGTTTGGCATAAATAATATACATAATTTTATATAATAATATACTAGTTTGAAATGTAAGGATATCTGCAAAGAAATGTAACTGATATTACACAGAATAATCTGGACTTTTAAGATACTTTTCTAGTCTGGTTATTGTTATGCTATTTGTAGGATAGAAAATAGGGTGTTTCTTTGTGCAAAATATTTAATTGACATTGTAAATTTTGTATCTAGATGATTTTAGTGAATTATCAATGAAGATGCGCCCACCAGCGGCTAAACCTTGGACCGAACTGCCAGTCGCTGAACACTGGCAGTTCGGTCCAAGGTTCGTATGCAAGCCAAAAGGCTGGCTGCTTGGGCGTTTCTGTGGTTTTCTGAATGTGTAACGTGTTCAAGACTTTCCCTTAGAAAGTCCTCCCATTCGGCAGATTGCCCTTGAGTGCTTTGCGGTAATTAAATAAACAAAATAAATGCAGTGGTAGAAATATTCAATTCTTTCAGTAAATTATTTCAGTATTAAAATATTTTATGCGAGTAATTATAGTATTGTTTTTATCTTTTAGATATTTTCTGGCAGTTCCCAAGTTCTTCTCAAGCGGTCAAAATTTTGAAACCAAGATATAGTGGACCTCATGCGTCCAGGTTAAGTGTGGTAAGTAGAATGAATTCTATTACGTTCTCAATGTTACAAATGCGAGACGGTTTTGTCTTCAACCATTAGTTTACGAATAAATATTCATATTACAATGAAACGGATATATCCCCGAAAAACAGTTGTAGGTATTGTTACAAAGAGAAAGCCAACAAATTCTGAAGGAGGTAAATATTTTAAAAATAAGAAATTTTAATTTCGTTAATTAATTCATTGCTGTTCCGAAATTTTTGACTGTAACTGCGAAAATAACAAGACACTGATAAAAAATTGTACCTTGTACATATATGTAGCTAGCTTATTTTAGTTTTTATTTGTTCCCATAAAAATTATTTTTATTTATATTATTTGTAAAACTACAGCTGAAATCGATATTAAGGTATTTCGCAATTAAATTATAAATCGATATTAAGATGTGTAGTAATTCTTTTGTATCACATCTGCAGAGCATTCGTTCTGTAGGGCGAGCGATTTTAATTTCGATTTCTTGCTTGTACAATGCCTACAGATGTTTCCTTATCTTAATGGGACTCATACACCTTAAAACCCATAAGATTTTCGAATATGTGACTGTTGCAAGAATTGGGATAACTTATTTATTTTCAAAGCAATTACTTCCAACTCTTTAGAGCTGACAACATAATATAGCTGCTTTCTGAAATAAAAATCAGAAAGTTTGTGTTGCCACAAATATTTTTATAATTGAATCCGCTTTGTGACAAAAGTTTTCGTCATGTTTCCACTTTGCGCGCACAATTTAAAACATTCTGCTGCATAATTTAACTCCATATTTAATAGATAGCTTTAATAACACTTGGAAACTACCGTGAACCAAAAATTCTAAGAATTTCATGTTAAATTTTTATTTTATTTGAAGTTGAGTTTATAAAATATACTTTATTAACAAAATCTGTAATGCTTTCTTGCATAATTTTTTTTAGTATTAAAATATTCATAAGATTTTTGGTTCAGTTAGAAAATAGTGCCCATATAAAGAATTCCATCAAATTTCAAGTATGGACGATCAGCCATTTTTAAATTATCATGCATGGTGGGCCTGAGTCAAGAAAGAAAGGCTGGAAGTGACTATTGTGCAGAACTAAAACCTGTTGAACAAACATGCATTAATTAAAACATATTTGAAAAGAAAGATCTAATATGTATTTTGTTATTGCTTATTTTACATAACGACACCCTCCCCCCCCACACACAAAATGTGCATTAATTTCCACTAATGAATGAATATTATAGTGAGTATGAATGAAAGATTGAATGTAGTTGTAGTTTAGTAAGAATGAATGAATATAGTTTGTAGGGTTTATATTTATTTTAACTAACATCTGTTTTAAGCTATCTTTCCTGTCAAGCCTTTACTTTTCCCTAGAATTGCCAATGCCAGAGTATGTAAATTTTAGTAGAACGCGCAAAGTATTCAAATTTTAGCAGAAGTAAATTGAGTTTAAATAGAAGGAAAACGAGATTGTAAGTGTGCTTCTTGAATCACGAGCATGAAGGTTGCTAGGTAGAAATTTAAGAACCGCGCGTTTTGGCCTGTGTGCGTATTTCGGCAGTTCGTTGAATCTTTCAACTCCTTAATCAGAAAGTTTGCTGAATCTCAGCTGTATCTTAGAACGCGGTTAAGTTAGTTATGATTATAGAGCCTCGTAGGTATTGATTTTGTTATTTATTCATCCTGTCATTTATTTTTAGTTGCATTTTTGTCTATTTTGTTAAACCGCCGGATCGGCGTAGTTTGTGAGCGTCAAGTGAACGCAGCTGTATTTTGAAAGTGGAATAAAAAAGGGATTAAAACCCTTCTTACGAGTTTGTGTAATTTACAGTTTATAGCAGTCATTACTACTGTTGCTGATCAGTTGGGGCCTCGCAACATTATAAGTTTATAGCCAATGAAAGAATGAGTTCACCAGAGGCCGAGCGGTAAAATCGCTGAGCACCCCATAGTTCGTGCGGGGTTAGAGTTCCGTGGATCGGGCTAGCTGCAAGGCCGTTTTTGGAATTTTTCCCATTTGTAACATGTCTACGGGCGAGTTTCCCTTAGAAAGTCTTCCGCCAAGGAATCCTTCCCTATAGGCAGATAACCCTTGATTGCTTTACCGTAATGAAATAAACTAAACAATAGCGACTGATTGTTATGCAACACTAAGAGTTTTTATCTGCTCTAAGTTCCATCAGTGAATGAATATTATAGTGAGTATGAATGAATGTAGTTATAGCGAGTAAGAATGAATGAATGTAATTCATAGTGAATGAATGTTATGCAGCACTAAGCGTTTCTAAGTGCATTAAGCTTCGCCAGTGAATGAATAATATAGTGAGCATAAATGAATGAATGAGTGTTGCTATAGTGAGTAAGAATGAATGTAGTTTATATAGTGAGTAAATCTTACCGCAGCGCTAAGAATTTCTGCCCTAGGATGGGCTGTTGGTTGTAAATTGCTTGAGTGCACGAAGAAAATTTTCATGCGTTTCCGCATGCGTAACTTAAAGAAGAGTCATTTACTCACAGAAAATCCTGTATGAATCTTATCTTTCCCAAACAACTGCCCTTTGGGTGCTTTACCATTTAATTAATCTTCACGTGTGCACTTGAACTTCCTTAAGCTAAAGTACAGAGCCCTTGTACTGAGAACAGAAAGAAGTGTAACTTTACTGGTAAAGGAAGAAACTACAATGAATTCAACTTTCTTATCCTTTAATGTCTTTATAGCTCGAATTGTTACTATGATATCGATACCTCTTGGAAATACAATTTAAAATTTTAAGGGGTGTTGGAACCCCAAATTCTTCAAAAAAATTGTGATTTCGGATTTTTGCGTTTTCAAATTCTCTACACTTTTATCTTTCTAAAAATACCATTCTTTAATCTCTATGAAAATTAGAACTGTAAAAAAAATCTAGTTTTAATTTATCATCGACTGCTTTGATCAATGAGGATTTTTACATAAAAACGTTTTTCTCCAAACGTGATTTTTTTATACTCGATGTACCTTTTCTCAGGAACAACTGCTCACAGGTATCTAAACTTTTCATGGCTTATTTATTAGGTTCCCTAATATTTATTGAAATGAGCTTTTTGTAATAAACTTAGAAAAAAAAAATTAATTTTTTTGTGTGAAAAAAGTGCTAAATTTTACTATGCCTAACAAAATATTCTGTAATTTACTCTAAAATTCAAAATCCTTCAAAAGCTCATTTCAGTATAATTAGATAGGTTTACTTTAATTACAAGCAGATTTTTGAGAAAAGGTACATCGAAAATGACCAATTGAACATTGTCTGTATAGGGGTTTCTGATATCCCTTAAGAGATATAGTACTAATAATCGTTGAGATACGATTTACAGATTATTCTGAAGCTTTATATTTTACTGAAGCCATCTCGAGAAGCATCAGTGAATTCCTATTGTTGTAAATAAAAGTTTTACCCCCCCAGGAATGATAATTTAGCTTAACGTGACTATTTCTAATGCTATGCTATGCTATTGTTTGCCATGTTTTTATATTTATCTTGAGCGATTGATGTTTGCCAAATTAATTAAACGAGTTACTGGAGATTTAAGTAACTCATACTAAACGAGACTATACTCTCTTATTTTAAACGAGACCTGGAGATTTAAGTAACTCATACTTCGTGTAAGCTTTCGTTATGTAAAAATAGATTTCGTTATGTAAAAATAGATTATGTAAAATAGATAGTAACTCATACTGCGATAATAATCGCTTTTTAATCTCATATTATGATAACAGAACGTTTCTTACGTGTGAGCTGGTTCTATCACTCATTCTAAAATAGTCTGCCGATTGCATTGCTAACTAGCCCCTTCGAGCCGGGTAGCGAAAACGCGCGCTTATTGCGGAGGCCGGCAGTGTCTTCCGCGAGCGTCTCTCCAGGGCCGGGGGCTTTTTTGCTACTAAGCCTAAATCCATGAAATTTCCGAAGTATCAACGCATTATTTAATAATGCTCTATAGAGTATTTAAACGGCTTATGCTTTATAGATATTTTTTATATATATACTTTAATTACCTTATTTCTTGTTTAAATGCATATTTTAACACATTTTATTTTAATTACTCACCATTTTATGACTTTTAACATTATACATCTGAAAACTAAATATATTACTTAAAATTCTCTTTTCGTATGAAAAATTTTAAAACAGGGATCTACACACAGTCCTACGTTACATTCCTTGAACTCGTAATATCTCATTTGCCGTTTTGGAGGATTTTTCCGGGAATGTGAACAAACGAAGCATCGTCGTCTCATTTTCTTATCAGTCTCTTCTGAGCAAAGTTTTGGAAAATGTCTTTCAGTTAATCTTTCAGAATCAATATCAGAATATCAGAATTTCAGAATCAATATCTGAAATATTTTGCATCATTTCTGCTATTTCATACTCTGTTAAACATTTTCGACGCTTCGACATTGAAACGGTAAAAACAGAAAGAATTCACGTCTAACAAGATCTAATTATTTTCTAAAAACTGAACTGTAAACCGAAATACTCAACGCTTTAGCGCATATAAAACTTCTACTTACAATAAACAACTACCACGTGCGAATAAAGTGCGATTTAAAGAGACGTCATAAATCACGCCATTCGGAAACATTTAGTTCCCCGTTTGTTTATATAATCAAAAACAAGCGTATGTGAGTCATGCTTCTCTCATTTCGAGTAGAAAGTCTAATGTACGTGTATCTGAAAACCATATGGGCATACAGTGCCATCTTGTGGCAGAAATTATAGTTTGAAAAACGTTCCAAGGTACTGGCACAAATACGTGACAGTCGGTAGAGAATGCAACAATGCTCTGGCACGCCTGCATGTCGGCCGGTAGATAAGTGTGTTCGTTGCTGGCACGTATACGTGACAGTCGGCGCGAAAGGGCTAGATCAGTAAGAGAGCTGTACGGCTTGGTTATATTTTTCTTTGGAGGACGTTCTACAGACCCTTAAATACAACGAAACAAAGGAAAC